TTAAGTCTCTTCAAATCCGTAATTGCCACCTATTAAAACCATGGAGGCAAAGATTAATTAACCATAAAATTACACACACTAACGGTACCAAAGAAGGAAGCATAACCGTTTTTTTTTAAATTGCTTTTGACGGTATTATACCTTGTCATAATCACACATTTGCAATAAAACTTACAAAGCAAGTATAAAAATGGCGTAAAACATTCGTAGAAAAATATTTTTATCCGCTATTTCTTTGAGTGTCGCAAACAAAGAAAGCTATGCCTCCTCTTCATTTTTTTAACGACAAACTGCCCAATCAAAAACGGCTTCAGTTCATCAGCGTCTAAGAACGCTTCAGAACACCCGAAATTGTCTAAGTTCATTCCTTGTTCTCTTAAATTAGTCCTTAGTCAGTTTCTCACAATTTCAACTAAACGTGTCTATTTTAACACCTGGTATAATGTAGATTGTTTGAAGTAGCTATTGCGGATTTAAATCGACCCACAACAAAGCAAAACGCGAGAAAGGTGTTTAAATATAAAAATATAATATATTTTTCTTTTCGTGTTTTTACAAACTAAATTTTTCTCAGCGGGTATCAGTGTTAAAGCTCTTCTGTTAAAGTTCTTTGTTTGTAGCTGTTTCTTAAGATGAAAAGAAATGTGATTTTTTTGTGCGTGTGTGTAAAAAAAAAAAAAAAAAAAGCAAAGAGAAAGTGAGGTGGAAAGTGTAAGTGTCACATAGCTTGGCGAGGAATAGCGCAAGCGTCACGTTGCTTGGCGAGGAAGAGTGCAAGTGTCATGTAACTTGGTGAGGAAGACGGATGAATGAGTAAGGTATCTCTTTGAAGTTGTCGTCGTGAACTGATGTCGCATGTATCTGTCCCTCTCTCTTTACTGGCTCATCAAGGGATCACGAAGCATATTTTTTTTAATTGTCGACGGGGACGAGACCCGTTGTTTAGAAAATGTTAAGTATTTATTTTCAAAGGATTAATTTATTAACGAATTTATGCACGAATCCCCCAACTCGGAAACCATTTTTTTTGTCATTTATGTTTGACCTTCTTGCTGTTTATTTCCGCCTTCGATCCACATAGAAAGTAATTACTTGAAGTTCTCGTTAATGATATTGATAATTATAGTACAAAAACAGGTATATGCTTTAACTATATCAATATTATATTGTTATGAACTTAAAATCAGTAACTCTAGAGGCTTAGTTGTTATCGGAGGTGGGCCGAGGGCATGGAGTGAAATTAACATTGTCTTGGGGGCAACGGAACATTAGTTTGGGGTCACTGGTTATCTTTTTCAGACGATACAGAAAATTGCATTAGATTTATTTCTAAAATAACTAATTTTTGAAAATAAAAAAAATGACTTCTTAAGGGCTTTTAATACATGATGCAAGCAAACACATACAACACATAACAGCAGCAGCCACAAAAAATAAACAAAATTTAAGCGCTTCTTTTTAAAATGATGAATGGAACCCGAATGAAAAATATCGGTTGAAAGGTGTTTGTATCATTTATCTTCAGATTTGAACAAGGATCTAATTGAAAGAACTAATTTTGTTTTCATAAACAAAGCAAGATTACATTTTTTTCATTAAGTTTTGATTTAAAAAACAAAACAAAACAAAACTTGAATAAAGCATTAACAAGCAGCATTTATACGTTATGTTTTCTGTTTACCATAAACTAAATTGTTCTCAACTGCCTCCAGAAGATCTCTGTTCATGGCCTGCCAGGTCAACAATACGACCCAGGGAAAGCGATGATCAGGTAGTAGAGTTGTGACTGAAGGAAACGGAGACCAGAGTTTAATAACTGAATGCATCAAAATAAATATCTATTTCCTAAACATTATGGTGATGCTTTAATTATGCTGCTAACAACTATAACTGATAAAAGTTTTTTTCAGAATTGATTTTAGGGCGATTAAGTTGTTTTTCGGAAAGGTTGCGAGACAGTGGTGAAAAAAGATAGTTTGCAGCCCAGGCTGAGAGGGCACAATTGTCTGACGGTGCTTATAGCATTAATTGAACTTAATCCGGTCCTGCATAGAGGTCAAGGTGACGTATGACTCTTGTCATCCATCCTGCCTTGAGAGATCGTATTTCTCTGTTGTTATTAATACAGTTAGGTATCACCTACAGTTGCTCAATTTATGATCTCCCTACATTGTTTTGTTAATGTCATCCTCATCAACTCATCTCTAACTTGACTCCTTGATGCGAAAATGAGAGACGTTGATCGCGCGGCATTTTACCCTGTTCGTGTGTCACAAGCAGGAGAGAATTGGAAAGAAAATGGAGAAAGGCAGACGACAATGTAATACACCAGCACTCAAATTACAAGACCCTCTCTTGTTTAAAAAGCTCTAGGTTGTCGCCAGTTTGGTGTAAACAAATTAAACTGTTTTTACTCTGACCATTGTCGTCAAAAGGTCTATTCTTTTATTTGTTCTACTAAGCGATTGTTCTCAGGAAAAAAAGAAGTAGAATTATAAAAACAATGGCAGGCTTTTACATAATTACTAAATAAATAATGAAAATATAAACTGTACAGCAAGAAATGGTCATAGTAAAATTACACTGTATTCTTAACTTTTATTGCCTCCCTATTCATGTCAGCTAATGGATGTAATTGTAATCTCATCGGCCTAAAAGAAACTTGAATTACTTCAAGTTGAACGTGTTGTAAATCATTTAGCTCAAAATTTCTAGTTTCAGACATCGGTTATCAAAAATATTTTAGGAGTAAAGGTTTACGTATTGTAAGATATTGGATAGCACATTGAAAGTGTACATCCTTAAAGACCAAAGGAATGTCTGACATCAAAAAGCAGTTTTTAATTGTACAGAAGGTCCTCGTGTTACGTTGGACTCGACGTACGGCGTTTCGTGGTTATGGCGCCATCTCCCATTATATAATACATCGTCACGCCTTTGGTTTTCACCTGCCGTACGCCATATTGGATTGTGCTACATTCGCTATCTCTCATTTGTGTCGGTTTTTTTTTTGGGGGGGGGGGCTTTTTGCCCTTCATTATGGCTCCCAAGCGTAAGTCAGACTTGTGGGAGCTTATGTAGGTAAGTTCCGACTTACGTCGAAAATCAGGTTACATCGCGCTGTAGGAACGGATCTCTGACGTAAATCGAGGACCCCCCCTGTACATCGTTAGTCCGTTGCATGGATAGCGTAGTGCTTATCGACACCGGAAGTGGAATTGGCGTGCCAAGTTCAAATTCTAGCCAAAACCCTTGTGTATCTATCTCTTCTCTTATGTGTTAATAATAGTAGACTGGTCTCTCTCAGAGAAGGAAAACTCTGCATTCAAATATCAGCCTAAAGAAAAATGAGTTACGTCAGGGTATCTTGCCTTAGACACACTTCTGCTGTTATGATTGGAGTGTATGTGGCGTAGCTATTACGGATTTTAAGTTCAAGACTTAAGTAAGTCCCACGTTTTGTTCCATCTTTGTGTACCTACGACTCTAATGTATTTTTTTTGTTTTTTTCGTGACTTGTTTGTACAGGATGCCCGGTGAAAACGGCCTCTTTATTATCATTGACTTATCTTTCAGGAATAATTGACTTTGAATAAATTTCTTGAATATTCATTCGACTCTCGCGTAATTACTTAACTCTGATTAGTTCTTTTATGATCGATTAATTGCTACTCGATCTTGTGACTCGTCATTTAAAAGTTATTTGTAGACAACTTTCGTCATTTGTTCTGCCCTTCTCGTATGGCTAAACTAAACAACTCACTGATTTTGAGCGTCAAGTTATCTTACTTTTCAAAGAAGAACATCCGACGTAGGGATTGGCGAAATGTGCAGAAATTCTTCCTGAATTTATCAGTCACATCAGTCGACATCAGTTTTCAAAGGTTGTCCACACGTCTTTCTGAATTTACCGCTTTTATTTTTACTGGGCATCCTGTATTTATTTATTTATTTATTTTTTGTTATAAATATGAAGTAAGTTTTCGTATAATGAAAATAAAAAAAGTGAAAGAAATAATTAGTGTGTAGAAATCACAAGAACAGTTATTTAATAAGAACAAATTAATTCTGAATAAAGTAGTAATTAAAGGCTACTTTCATAAGATCTTTTTTGTTCTATAACTTAATTAAGAAAGTGTGGAAAGTTAATATCCATTGACAAGGGATTATGTAGCCAGTGTAGATTTTGTGCGTACATACACGTATGAGGAAGGGTAGTAGCAGAAAATAACCACCTTTGACGAGTTTATCAAAATCTATCAATTCAATGGTAGAAGTTAAGAAATGCATGCTGCGGGAAAATAAATGAAAACTAACTGATGACAGGTTATTGAATTTATTGGCGGTTATAAGAATTCAGTGGTTCAAACAAAGAATAAATTTTTCTGGGAATAATTTTTTAATATATATATATATATATATATATATATATATATATATATATATATATATATATAGAGAGAGAGATATTATCTGGAAAAAGAAAGCTTTTTCCAGATAATGTTACAATGCTAAATCGCAGTTATTATAACATTTCTTCAGGGCCAGATTAGCTATTAACAAATTGCGCACGTGTTTAGGGATTTCAAAAGGAATGGGGTCACGACAGGGTGGGATTTTTTAGAGTATGCTTTGTAATGACCAAATCACATTTGCAATAAAGACCTAATAATAGACCCGTGTGAAACTACGTTATCGAGAATTTGGTGTACTGAGTTCAATTCCCGCTCTATTCAATTTTGTTCACTTCACATGATTGATTCGTTATTTTAAAGCTCCTCTACTTTTTTCAGGTTATTTAAAACCAGAAAATATTTTTAGATTGTAGCAATCTTTTGGAAATAATAATGATTTACTGATACAAGTCTTACTAATTAACCCATAGCTAGGGGAAGAAAAGGCGGATTCATACCTTCCCCAGGGATATTTGTGCGTAAACGAAATCAACTGGAATTGAAACTGCTCTCCGATTTCCTGTTACACCACCCGTACATTTAAACTTACAGCAGCTGGTTTTCCCAAACGGTCCCCCATCTAAGAATTGACCAGGCTCGATGTTGCTTAACTTGTGATCGTGCGGGAACCGGTGTTTCGACGTGATATGCCCGTAAGCCTGGAAATGACATGATTCCGCTTTCCTCCATCTATGGTTTAAATAACAGGACAGACTGGGCTGTCTTAAATCGAAGTGGCAATTGGTCTGGGAGAAGGAAAACTAAATTGAAGAGCGACAGGCTATATCAGGTTATATTGGCAAAGACGCACCGCTGATACTGTGGTTGCAATACATGTAGTTCCATTACGACTTTAATTGGTTATGGGATTTTTGACGAAAACTGCGTAAAAAAAATGCTGAAAAATATCCTATTTTGTCCCTCAAAGATATTTTTGTAGGACACTCAAACCAAGAAAGGTGTGCTCTTATTTATTTATTTATTTATTTGACAAAACGATTTTATTTTATCCGCGTTCAAAAATTCCTGAATGTTCAAAACTTAAGTCTCCTTGACTCTCAGTTCTCCATCTTATTCTTAGTCTTATAATATCAACGAAATATGGCTGATTTAACGTCTGGTACGATGTGGATTGTTTGAAGCAGGTTCCTAACTTTCTCATTAATTAAATTACTTTATATTTATATAACATAATAAGTTAGATAATTTGACTATATGAATATATCGAGTTAGAAAATTAAAAGCAGTAATTCTAAGCCTGATTGTTATCGGCGGGTTGAGGAGGCCAAATTGTTAGACTGTGCTGATGGTGTCAGTTGGTCGTAATCCGTTTGTGCACTTCTTGACCGTAATGGTATTACAATATCTAATCCACCCATTCTTTGAGCTTCTTTATAACTATGTCGCTTTTTTTCTTTCTTTCTTTCTAGCACGTTCTACATTATTCTTTATTTGATTAAAAATAAAGGATTCTGAACAATGATTAATAGTCGTCTGTAATTAAAACCAGTTCACACATCAAGCTTTTTTTTATTGAAGAGAGTGGCTAGGCACCCAACAGGATTAAAAACAGGGCATGACAAATGAACGTTCTTGTAGGGTCAACAGCCATCTACTATTGGGTAGACCAGCTTCATAGGTATGTATGCAGCCAGTACGATGATGCCAGAGCATCGCTTAGAGGTGGTCTTCCTAGACTAAAATCAACGGCCAGGGCTGAAGGTTTCCTCAGGGGAATTAGACGAGCTTTCAAGTTGGAGAACGTCTATGCATGAATGGATACCTATCCAGCTTTCAATCTAGACATGTGGGGTGAGCCGTCAGGTGCTCTGCTGCACAGCGGTGATCTTCCTAGACTGAAATCAACGGCCAGGGCAGAAGGTTTCCTCAGGGCAATACAATGACCACGTGTCTGTGGTCAAGACGAGCTTTCAAGTTGAAGAAGGTCTATGCATGGATGAATACCTATCCAGCTTTCAATCTAGACATGTGGAGTAAGCCACCAGGTGCTCTGCTTCACAACAACCCAATGACCACACCTGGCCAGGTGACAGATGATAAAACTTCTGATTAAGTTGGAGGACATCGAAAGTGAATCGTGAAGTTTTTATTTATTCCAAAATATCTACGATGTGTTCATAGAAACATGCCTATTTTTCCTCCGTAATTTTAAGTGTTAAGACCACATGGGAATCACGGATTTTATGAAAATTTCGGCAAACATTCTTTTTTTTCATTTTGGGCTCGAAAAACGCCTCAGTTTATTATGATTATTATATACTAAGGTTATTCGAGTTCAAGACTAAGATAACAGGACATCCAGTATAAGTCAAACGCACAAAACTTGGACATGCGAATTTTGCGAAACAAACCATCGTGGCATGTTAGGCGCCCCTAGTTAGTTAGGACTTGATGAATCTGACCCTTCAGGGCAATGCGTTCGAATTCTCAGCCGGCGGACCCATTAAATGTCTCCCTTTTGTAATTTACGCCAAATATCACAAACTGTTTGTCACTTTTAGATTTGCCCACGAAAAGGTTATCAGTAACAGATATTCAGCTAAAATGTCCTCGTGGCAAATGGAGTGTTTCCTGTGAAACATTTGCCTTTGAGCACAAAATAAAAACACTCCTAACATATTTCTGGTTTCTTCTGTGTATGTTTAAGGATTAAAAGGTTTGGCACTCGCAAAAATATAAGGAAGGCAAAATAATATCACTATATCAGTTTGTATGGGTTTCTGTCATTTTTACCTTTTTTTTTTAAATTTTACAATCTTTCTTTTTTTCTTACTTTCTTTACAGTTTTCATCTTTTTTCTTTCTTAACCGCTTTAATGGTCTTTCTTTCTTAGTCGCTTTATTGTTTGTTTCTTTATTTCCTGATTAACATTTCTTTCTTTCTTTCATTCCTTTCTTTATTATTGCCTGACCGTTTTCACCTTTTTCCTTCAATCGTAACCGCTTTCTTTCTTTTTTCTTTACAGCTTTCATTTTTTTTTCTTTCTTAACCTCTTTATCATTTCTTTCTTTCTTTCTTGACTGCTTTAATGTTCTTTCTTAGTCGCTTTTTAATATTGTTTGTTTTTATCTTTCTTTATTTCTTATTAACAATTCTGACCGCTTTCACCTTTTTCTTTCATTCGTAACCGTTTTCTTTCTTTCTTTTTTTCTTTCTTTTTTCTTTCTTCTTTCTTTCTTTTTTCTTTCTTTGTCTTTTTCCAATTCCTTCCTATTTTCTTTCTTTCTTCCCCAATCATTTCCTTTTCATTCTTTTCTTTCACTCATAATCCGATACATAAATAAAAACAAAACTACAAGATATTTTTTGTTCTCTTGTCTGCCACCGCCCACAGTCATTTGATTGTCTATAAAAATTTCCCTACATTCCCCTTTTCGCTTTTAGTGTTTATTTGCGTTACTGATCCTCATTTTCTGTTCACTTTCATCAATTGCTGGAGCAAATGCCTCATCTAAGAATGAAACGGAAAATCAGAGGCCTTTTTTTCCCCTTTAAATATTTTTTATTTGTTTTATTTTCGATTCGGATGCTTGTTATAGAAGTTGGCGGGCATATTAAAAGTAGAGTAAATTTAAATAAAACACCTTAAAAGATTAAAAAAAAATGAAAACTACAAAAAATACATGACATATTTTCTTCCGAAACAAACTTCTGGACGTTCATAGAATTTACAGATAAACATTAAGTTTAAATAACTATTCGCCTTTGTGCGGTTGGTGTAACGACTCGGCGACGTGAAATCGGCGAGACGAGTTCGAATTTCAGCCAAATTTGTTATATTCACTTTGGCACAAATACCTTTGGGAAATAAATGTATTAATCCATCTCTACCCCCAGCTGCGGATTAAATAGTAGGACAGACGGAACTCTTCAGCATTTATAGGTAAACAGATTATAAGGAAAACTCTGAATTCCCAAACCCGAGTGAATGTAACTCGTTAACGTGGGAAGTAAAACCTTGAGAGAAAGCCAACTCTTCCTCAGATTGCAGAGGTTAGGCGTGGGGCCAATCACCTACCTTGTGGAGCAATTAGATTGCACACACATTCCCACGAGGCATTCTGTACCATGAAACATTAGTCAAGTAGTACCATTTGGCTTACTTTCTTCGTATACGGATATTTTGATTATGATTTGTATTAATTACTATATGGAATTATTTGTGTATATAGGCTAAGCGTTTATCAACGGTGTTACTCATTTTGATAGAAACTGGTTGAAATTGGAATAGGAAGACAGTGTTATGTTAGTCTTACAAATGGGAAGAGTTTTCTTGCTTTGAACTTACAATACTCTAGCTTTGTATATTCTCATCAGGTTATCAGTTTGCAGCAAGACGGTTATTGTTGCATATTGTGGGATTACCAATTTTGAAAGGATATTATTTAGTGATCTGATGTATATTTATTGTGGACGCATGGGAGTTTTCTTGAACAGGAGGCAGAAATAAAATTAAAAGCAATATTGTACATTTAACAAATAGACATTTTGTCAATGTTTAATCTTCATGCTCGAAAAAAAAAACAAAACAGTGTTTCAAAAGGATTATTATTCCTTTGATCTCCCTCAGCAATGTCTATTTAAAAAATTGTGAACCAAGTACAATGGGAGATTTATTATTTACCTTTTATAACAGTCCAGGGTATGATGATAAACTACATCCGGAAGCAAGGCCTCTGATTGGAAGATTGGAGGTTTTGAGGAGCGTGGAACTACCTCTTAATTGCTGTTGTTCACAGGTTCACTTATGGTGGGAGCATCTTTTAGGGTCCCAGCTATGGACAAATAATGAACCCCCTCTACCAAGTAAAACAAAACACTCTGAAAGTATAAAAATACATTTTTATAGTAATATTACCAACAATATCTATTTAAAGCAAAAGGTCCAACAATACATTTTATCTGTAGTTGAAGGCATGCAATTGTATTCAAAATGTATTTAGTTGAAGTCATAAAATTGCATTCAAAATATTTACATTTCGGCATTTGATGACCCATAGAGATATACTGCTAAACAAAAATTAGAAAAAATACATTGGAAAAAAAAATTATTTAAAAATATATTTAAAACATACAAAATTATCAAATAGAAGAAGAGATGCTCTCAACTTATTTTATTGAAATTATGTGGCAAAATCTAATGAAAGTGAGGTAAAAGCATTTTTTCAAAAATTATTCTTTATAGTTACATGTTGTTAAGTATTTCTTGTTTAGACATTGTTGTAACAGAGGGCAGGTTACTGAATAGAATAATCAAATGAAGGTTCATAATGAATGATAATACTTAGGACAGGAACAAAACATATAAGATTCGCCAGCGGCAGGTAGAAGTAGTCAACTGCTAGAAGTGAGTCAAGTGAATTCCACAATGAATCTCTAACTGCAGACCAACATACAGTATTTACTACTGTATTTATGTGAATGGGGATATACCCATTATCGTCTGTAGGTATGCTAAAACAGACATTTTTATAACTTTATGAATAAAATTTTTCATATTTCTTTCTTTATAAAATGGTTAATAATAAATATTTATAGTTGGTTCATGTTTTTATTATCGGGTAAGTACAAAATTATTATTTTAAATAGCTATCTAATAATAAAATAGTGTTTAATATCATTGTTACCAGTTCTCA